GACCGTTCGAGCCTTTTGAGAATAGAGTCTCGATGATGGTATTAAGTTAACGTTGAGGAGCGGAGAGGCCGGGATCCGAGAGGGAAGAAAGACGAGAAACGGGGCCGATCGGGGAACTGGTTCGATCTCATCCGGCGTCCTATCGATTCCTTATCATTCCCAATGCAAACTTTATGCCCCTTGTTCCCGGGTTTCGCTCGAAATAAGCCCGGCTGTCAGGGCCCGCGAACTTCGATTAAGAGTCCGTGTCCGGGAGCACTCCGTAAAAGTTCCGCGGGTTTGAACGATTCCTCGGGTACTTCCACCCACCCCTTTTTACCGGAAACGCCCGGTTTACGAGTGCTCGTAAAGCGAGATGAACCGTGATACATTGTTTAGTCTGGCCGACTATTCGGTGACCCCGTAAGATCGTTCGATCTGCAGTAAAATCGAGGCTGTTCGAACGTCTCCGGAAGCTTAACGCCCGGGTCCGACACCGATGACCCGGCCTCGCCGAGGATTCGTCGGCCCGGAAGTCACGCGAAACCGCTTCTGAATAAAGAAGCAACGAGGTGACCCTGCACCCTCGGACACGTGTACGCTTCTGTGTGGCCGGGTGCGCAGGTCGCGCTTAAACGAGGGCCGCGTTACAAAGTGGACGTGCATTTTTAAAGCGGCGCCAACGCGCCGTCGGAACCGCCTGATCGTTGCACAGGGTCAAAGGGAATGCCACCGCGCAGTCTAGCTGGAAAAAATTCATAGAAACAGACCGATGCACTCCGCATTAATGCGTCCACGGAGATGTTTATGGTCGGAGTTGGATTTGTCGATTTTTAGACCAGGGTGCGAGTGCGACGGAAATTTCAACTCTACGAGATTTGTTTGTGTTTTAACAAAAATTTAAATCGATCAATGCGTTCCTAATTGTACTTGCATACCAACGCAAGTAAATATTTTGGAAATACAGTAAATTCTCCCTAATAATCCCGCAACTTGGAATCGAAAGTGGACAACTTAAGGCAAACCTGATACGATTCTTCGAACCTCGCGACTCGCGTTTATAGTTGCCGACATTTCGTGAGAGAAAGATAGAGAGAGTGACAGAGAAAGAGAGAGAAAAAGAGAGAAAGAGAGAAAGAGAGAGAGAGAGAGATAGAAAGAGAGAGAGAGAGAGATAGAAAGAGAGAAAGGAAGAACGAAAATCGGAGCAGTCGGCAAATTTAAAAGCCACTGGCCAGCATATCGGTGTACATTAATGTGTAAATATACAATAATACTAGAATAAAAATGAAATGTTTAGTAATGCATAGTGTTAGCACTTACCTATCTAAAGTTAGTGTTCAAAAATACGACCATCAGCGTGAACGTAAAAATTTACACAGACTTTAAAATGTACTAAAATTAAAATATCTTCTAAACCAACGATTTCTCGCAATAAATGCCTTAGTATTACTATAAAAATATATGATTCCATTCGAAAAAATAAAGTTGACCATATGCCCTCCACGCGCTCATATAGAAAAATCTCGTTAACATCAGATTACGTGCCCCCTAAAACGATTCAAATTTCGTTTGGAACATTTTTTAGTATCCTCGACAGTTTCGAAGATATTTGACTGGATCGATTTAAATGGGTCATTATGTATACAGGGTGGTCCACCTAAATATCTCCTCTAATTGCGGGGGCAATTTCATTTCAGCAAAGCCTTTACATCGTAATAACTCTTAGAAATATAAAAACATTGCACTACCACGTTATCTAGTTACCACTATTTTTTTTATTAAAACATAAAATACTTAAATATCTGGATCTTAAAATAAACGAACTCAGGCCACTTTCAAGATGAACGACTCATTTATTTAATCTTTAAATGGTAACCGCTGTTTTAATATCACTAGTGATTAATGTCAATTTGATTTCGTACCAATAATTGTGACCTGTTGTCAAATTGACTACCTATCAATAATGAGACTTGTTAAATTAACTCTTTCTCGCTAGTTGTGACTGGAAGTCAAATTGACTCCCTATCAATAATGGAACTTGACATCAAATTGATCCCATATCAACAGTAGTATCACTATGGAAATTGGGAAGAGCAAGAGGTTTCTGTGGATGATTACAAAAGCTGATTGGATGCGATATATCAGGACGCGGCTTCGAGTCCTGAGGCGGTTCTCTCTTTTTTCCCAAAATCCTACATATGTTTCAAAGAATCTCACCGCATAACACGATCAAAACTGGGTGCAAGGCATTTTCCAGATGAAAAGGATTATAACTACCATGGTCAACGAAATTTAATTTCTTCTGTCTCTCTTTGTTCTACAAATAAACATTTCAACCCTCAAATCATGTATACGTGATTT